CATCTCAGAGCTTCCAAACTTCAACTGAACAAATTGTAATGAGTTCAAATCCAGAGACGTTTACAGTGCAGAAGGAGGCCATTCGACCCAGCGAGTCGACACCAGTTCTCAGAGCAAGCTATACTTTCAATCCCACCACCCTGTCCTATCCCCATTTCCCATCAGGTCCCTAAGTGACTTCTTCGTTTGTCTTAACACCATCTTAGAACTTGATTTAATCGCTCCTAACTCTTGACACAGTGTCCCATTATAATAGTCAGACTATTTCAATGCGACTTTACCAACCAAAGGAATGATTTGTCATTTCATTTTAAGGAAGCAAATAATTTCAAAATGTTTACACCATTGAAGTCTAGAAGTCGAGCTGCACATGTGAGCAGTTGAATTTGAGTTTGGTTGCTAACTTTGATGTGGCAATTATATATTTTCTCTCAGAAACAAACTTCCAATCATAGAAATTAGGATTTGCTTTGACATAATGCCCACCATTGTGAATGTTAAAAAATGGCACCATTCATTCAGGAAATATATAACTACAGATGCTTTTCACTGCTCAGTCTGCATTAGTTAAGCCTCGCTTGAACTTGAATTTATTTCCATTGATCTTGCTTTTTGCAAAGTGCTTTTAACTTATTTAATGCATTTGTTTTGCAGTGCACATATTCCTTAAGGACTTCATTGGAACATTGTCTTTCGAGTTCTCCATGGTCTTGCCCCATCCTATCTCTGTGATCTTCTAAAACCCTACCAACTCTCCTGTTTCCTCTACACAGCAGGCATTGGTCTGTTTCATGCCCCTCAGCCCTTCCCTCATCTCCTTCATGGTCTATTTCAAGACCTTCTGCTTTGACCACACCATCAGGCATCTTCCCACTCTCAACAAGTTGTTGTCGTTTTTGTTGAATAAAATAACCTACCCCAGCGATTTATCCGTTTGGATAATATACTCGAGTAAAAATGGACCAGTTCTTAATACGATTATTTAACTGTTTCCTCTTCCAACTCTCATGCAGAAATCCAACAATCATTTGATAATGTCTGACTACTTTCTCTTGCAATGTCTCCTGATTGTTCTCCCCACCTACAAAGGAGAATAATGACATAGATTGCACACCACCAAATAAGCCTTTCACAAACATGAATCTCCACAATTCCTAGTCTCCTCTCGCGATCCTGACCTCCTTCCCATATCCATCTCTTTCCTTCTCCCTCGTATAATCATCACATTTTCTCTTGAATCCATTGATCATCTCTGCCTGAACCACAGTTTCTATTCTTATTCACCATTGTTATTAATAATGCAAATCCAAGTTGTTGTTTTGTAGCAGAAATAACTATTTATTCTCACTCAGCTTCCTTTCCTGAGCTGTGCACTTCATGTGGTCCATCTGTTGATGTGCACTTAACGCTGCTTGCTCTACTTTATTTGGTAGGTTTCGTGACTTTTTTCCCCCATGTGCTCATGAATGACTCTTAAAGTCAATATTATTTTAGGTGTCAGCCTGGCTGGTTTAGTTGGTAGTACTCTCGCCTTTGAGTCATGAGTTTGTGGGGTCAAGCCTCATGTTGGGACTTTGAGCTCACAGTTTAGGCTCAAACCCCAATGCAGTGACTCGGGTGCACTGCATTGTCAGAGATGCTTGTCTGCCTGTTCAGGTGGATGTTAAATACCCCAAGGCATTATTAGAGAAGGAAGATTATTTCGGTGGTTAGGCCAACAGCCCCCCAGATAATATTGGTCATTCACCTGATGACTGTTCGTGGGATATGTTGCTGTGCGCAGATTAGCTTCCGCGTTCATCTACAAAGTACTCAGTCACCCTGCTTTACAGTATATCCTGTGAAGCACTTTGAGATGTTCTCCCAATTATAAAATGCAAGGGTTGTCTTTTTTAGGATTACAGTCTTATTATTGGATTCTAAGCAGCGTAGTGTTGAAGGGTATAAAACGAAGCTGCAGATGCTGTGAAGTATAATTTCATTTTACACATTTAATTTCATGCTTTTCTAGTTTTATTTGCGATGGGAATATCATCGTGGCGTCTTGAATTAAATGGGAGTTTTACTCGTGGGCTTTACTGGTCTTGACAGGTTAATCAGTGGGAAAGCAGACAAAGTGACATTGCCATGACCTTCAAGCGCAGCTAAAGTCAATTGATCGAAGGAATTAAGTAGACCAGCTGAGCCGGGCTGACGGACACTGTTCTCAGCGGTTAAAACGTGCAAAGAAACTTGCATCTCTTGCACTCAATTTTAACCTTTTTTAAGGTAACAGTCCCTTAACAAACAAAATTTGGCCATTCAATCCACGACTGTTCGTGGGGACGCTGCTGTGCGCAATTGGCTGCCGGGTTCCGCCCACGAAATACACAGTCAATTCATTTTACAGTATATTCCGTGAAGCGCGTTGAAACGTCTCAAAGATGTGATAAGGCGCTGTATAAAATACAAGGATTATCATTGTTGTTAATGTATTATGCACTTTTCTGTTTGTGACGTGCTTCAAAGTCTGGAGCATTGGCGCACTACAATTCTCAGTGACACTGTCTCTACAGTATTCATGATGCCAACAGCCAGTATCTGTTGGGAGAATATGCAGTGATGGAGTGTGCAACGTGCATTTGGGTGAACATCATGTAGATTTGATGGGATCGTGTCTTTATTGCAGCGGTGTTTGCCCAAGCTTGAGACGGGCAATGGATTGTAGTTTTCTTTGTAATGTTTTGTGCTTCTGGAAGATCAGGAATAGTGTGGTTAGTGACTAGTGTTTCCTGATGAAGACTGGAGATCTCTAAACATTTGTACTTTTAATTTCTCACAACCTTTTCTCCAAGTTAGCAACTACAATGAATCCGTAACTCGTGTTGTGGAGTTCGAATTCTAGATGTAAACTCCGCAACTGTTTGTTGGGACACTGCTGTGCGCAATTGGCTGCTGCATTTTGCCACAAATACACAGTCAATCCACTTTATGATATATTCTGTAAAGCGCTTTGAAACGTCTCAATGGTGTGATAAGGCGCTATATTAACTGCAAGGATTATTATTATTATTAAATGCTGCTAACACTTATGAAACCACCTAAGGACAAATAATTTCCTTGGCAGCTGAAGTCGTCTTGAAATATTCCGACCATCTTAATAGAACGCAGCTTCGGAGTTGGGAATGATTGACTCAAGTCACTGACAACAAAAATATCACTGCAATTTGTTTCGTCAAAGTTGATGCTCATTAAATGGTTCATGTTAAAAGCCAAAACTGAGAAAGGAAGGCAGTTTACTCTGCAAATCACACAGGAGAAGCATTGCTCCTCGGGATGTTGTGCCATCTGGTTTCAAATAATGTCGCTCTGGAAAGCACTTTGAGTTGTTTCTTTAGTGTGAAAAGTAAATCAAGTTGTTGTATTTACAGTAAGTTTTTATGGTTTTACAGTGGCCACTCATCACTGAAAATCTCATTATCACTCCAGTCTGTAGTCCTGGCAAATAAAGTTGATGTGATCTGTAAGAGAGACTAATTCCCGTCTTTCAAGTGTAAAATGCCTAGTTTATACTTTGCTACATGCTGTGAAAATAATGCTAAACTACCAGAAAAACCATAAGGCGAAACGGGCAAAGGAAGAGGGCTCAGGAAACGACAGAGTACACTGTGACAACAGTTAGATGGAGATGACATTCTATGGTGTCCATTCTATGCAGGATTGTGGAGTCCTGTAGCTCAGCGGTTAGAGCACTCGCCTCGCAAGCGAGTCCTGGGTTCGATTCCCAGCAGAGCGAAATGTTGGGCAAGTTTCCTTACTTCACACACCTCTGTTTACCAAGCAGTAAATAGTAACCTGGTTGTTAAGTCAATTGGCAGATCGCTTTTCCAGGGATAATAATCCCAAGTGCTGTGTGCAATTGGCTGCTGAGTTTCGTCCACAAATATACAGTCAATTCACTTTACAGTATATTCTGTGAAGCGCTTTGAGACGTCTCGAAGACATGAAAAGCGCTATATCAAATGGAAGGATAATTATATATTTTTATTTACCCCATTGCCTGGCTTCACCCAGATCCCTTCACTGCCCCATTCTGTGGCTACACTCCTTTTGGCTGTTTTCTCATTGCCATAGGCCGCAAACTCACCCGAAGACTTTAATGCGAGCGTTTTCAATGTTGTTAAGTTGCTGGGTGCAATCTCACGACTTCAATATGTGGAAAACCTTAAGCCTGGTTATGGGAGCTGCTGCGTGTTTGATTTGTAGATGTATCTAAATTTTCCGCGACCTTTTAAAATACGCTGTGAGGATTTCTGATTCAGTTAATGATCAGTTTAAACCTTGGTATCTCTTTTCCAGATCACATCAGCACCTCAGCGTTTTGCTCACAAATTATACAGTCAATTCATTTTACAATGTATTCTGTGAAGCACTTTGAGACGTCTGGAAGACGTGATAAGGCGAAAGATCAAATGCAAGGATTATTATGATTATTGTTATTTGTTATGTTTTATTTATTACAAGTTGGAGTGAGAATGCTGCTTTATGTCTTCAGTAATGAATGGACAGTATCTGTAAGAGCATAAATGCTTGCTCTAAAACAACCACTTGTGTTTAATGCACGTTTTTCATGTAAAGAAGCATGTCAAAGTGCTTTCCAGGGCAATATTAACTTGAAATGTGATGCTGGCAACCTATGGATCTACTTCTGTCTAAGAGGCAGTTTCCACTTTGTTTTTTCTATTGTTCCTGAACTGCTTTTGAAATTAAACCCATATGACATTCCTGTTGCTTCCCTCAGATGCTTTTTTTAAAAAAAAGAAAAGGGTGAAGTATTGTTCGCAAAGGTAATGAAAGAAGATTGCATGAAAAATGACTTGAACGTGATGTAAATAGTAGGCCCGTAACACTGTACAGATTCAGCTATGGCCACTAATGAACGAAGTGGGGGAAAATATCCACAAAGTAATGAACCTTTATATTTCAACGCGGATTTTCTTTTTTTTTCCCCTTTGTTTCAGATCTATCTGACGGTCTGTCACAGCTGCCGGTCATGAACGGGAATATCCATCTCGGCTCCACCACGAGGCACCAGCATGTTTCATCCGTATCTCAAACCAGAAATCCGCTGCCTAATAAAAAGCAACCGACAGAGAAGTCATCCAAACAGACTCCCAGGCAGTTTAATCCCTCTGCCTCTCCCTCGCTAAATGATTGTCAGAAAGCGCTCGCCTCAGGAAATGAAAAGGGCTTATCTAATGCCAACGGAGTAGTGGAGGAATTCAAATATCAGAGCAAGTTCTCTAAAAACGCCAGGCACCATCGACCTGAGATCTCTCCCAGCAACAGGGAGCAAGACAGCTCATCGGAATTCGCGGAGGTTGAGTTATGCATTACTGAAACAAATGGCGGAGGATCTACGTACAGCAGCCCGCAAATGCTGCACAAGCAGACTCGCGCTTTGAGCAAGACTCACCAGAGTATGAAGAAGACCTCATCGAGACTCCCGGAAGGGAGTCAGAAAGAAGAGAAGAGAGCGAGCGAGAGGATCAGTTCGACTGCGAAGGCGCTTTCTGCAAAAAACTCCCGGATTGCAGACCTAAGCCACACGAGAAACCGGGTGTGTAACGAGATGCAGAAAGGAGTTTCAACTCTTCCTCCTCGGGGAAAGTGTAAATCCCGATTCAGTCTTTCAAACGACAATCTATTGCACCTGTCGAGTTCTGGGTATACAGCCGACTCCGAGAAACCCAGGAGCTGTTCAAACCAAAGACAGTGGAAGTCTGATGTCAACTGGAAGTCCTACAGTTTCTCCAACTTGCTCTTAGATGAGAGCGAGAACTTATCGGAACTTTCCCTCTCCTCGACCAGCTCTCCCAAGCATCGGTTTTCCAGTGGGGTAAAAATGTCAGTGAGCAGCAATGTTATCAAACTCCCTTCTCCCACACAGAATAGTCATCCCAACACAGCTACGGTGGCACCCTTCATGTACAGGCAAGTGATCTTTCAGCTTTATCTCTCCTCTTCAAAATGCCATTAAAGTCGCAGGTGAATTATGCAGCTACGCTAGGTATCTTTGTTCTCTCCCTGGTTCCCATATTTCTAGGACTCCACTTACCACAGTTTAGGTGGGCTGTGGACCTGTTACTGGGTCCCTACTAAAGTGGATGATCCACCCTATCTGGGACAAATGCGGTCTAAATCTCCTTCCTTTCCTCTAGGTTTTGTACATTCACCCTGAAAGGATATCTGAGCTCAGGGAGCTCTGGGGTGGAACTAATATTTGACAGTGGGACTTTGAACTCAGTCCAGGCTGAGACTCCAGTACATTGGGCTGGAAGAGCACTGCATTTTTGGAGGTCACAAGATCCCAAGAATAGTTTGGGTAAAGTAGGCCTTCAGTCCATTTGATATCAAGCTGCCAGAATACCCACCCTAGCATCCCCCCCATCATAGTATCCAGCTGTTTTGTTTTAAAGTGAATCCACTGTTCCTTTACTCTCTGAGTATCGAAAAAAATCGTGTTATCTGCCCTGAGATTGCCCTTTGCAACTCTCAATCTTTACCCTCTTGTTCTACTGTCTTGCTGCATTGTTCTTGGTTTACTTTTTCAAGCCAATTTAAATTTGTATACACCACTATAATGTCCTCTCTTAATTCATCAGAGGAAACATTAAACCAAGGTCCCGTCTGCCTGTTCAGGTGGATGTTAACAACCCTATTTACTGGTGATGCTGTTTTGTGGGACATTGCTGTGAGGAAATTAGCCTTCGCTAATATACACTCATTGCACTTTACAGTGAAATCCTGTGAAGCACTTGCTGCTAATAATACTAATCCTTAGATTTGACATAGTGATATATTACGTCTTCGAGATGTCTCAAAACGCTTCACAGAACATACTGTAAAGTGCAGTGACTGTATTTTGTGGGCGAAACACGGCAGCCAATTGCACACAGCAGCGGCCCACAAAATGATGTCCTCCTGATGTGAAATCCACTATATTGAATGTGAGGATTATTTACTTTTTAGCACTTTCTAGAATGTCTGCTCACCAATGTTTGTCCTGGCGAACAGCCACCCACCTCATATTCTTGGAAAGGCGCATGTCCAGAACGGAATATTATTAAGGAGAAAAATATGAGGGAACAAGGAGTAGCATAACCTCATAGGAAGTTGGACGGAGAGGATAAATGTAATAGCACTCTTGCTGCTAGATGCTGGCAATTTATTACATCTGGCTGCTTGAGCCACAAACAAAACTCACCACTCTGTGAGAGGTACTTACATTCGCCTTTTCCCAACTACGCTCTTAAATCATGAGTTATGGCTTGTATTGTTTCCAAATTGCAGTTGTAGCGTTATGCTCTCTACGTGAGGCTAGTCAAGTGTACAGACTAGAAAAGCCAAGAAGTGGATGATATGTTCAGATGTTTCTATTACATTAGGTTATGTTGCGATAACACCATGTTCTGTACCAGCCATATATAATTGTTTGTCCTTTGAAAAAATATATTTTTTGCTGAAGGACTGAATGTTAGATGAAGTAAAATGATGTCGATTTTCGAAGTTTGGCAGTTTACTTGCACAGAAAAATGTTCAAGCCAGCCCACTTGGAGGGAAAGTTCATGATTGTAATTACAAGGCTCAGGAAATAAAATAGCTTCTTCTAAGATTACATAATGATTGCCTTCTGAAGAATATATTTATATACAGACTGCAAATCTTTGTTAAACAAAAGACGCTCAACCTGTTTTGAAAATCAACCGTTTTAAAATTTAAAATGAAAAAAAGTTAGTTCACAGGTTTCAGACATAACTGGAACACCTGAGATCATTGGTAGCAAATCAATTAATCAATTAATCATTCATTGTTGATGATTTGATGAAAATGTTAAAGTCTTAATAAAATCGAATAGGAATTGATTTGGGGTAAAAAGAATTAACCTGCACAGGGATTATTTTTGAACATCAAGCAGTGGATGACAAAAGTATGTTCCAAGATATACAGTCAATTGTTGGAAGAGTCAAATAATGTATCACCAATACATTTGTGCCCTCATTTCTGACTCAGTAGAAAATTGCGGAAATATTTGCCTCAGATTACGGGGATTATGGCAAGTTTTGCGGAAAATTGCGCGGGTTGAATGGTGTTACCGAGAAGTACATTTTATTGCCAACCTACATTTTTTTTCACGTTATTGACAAAGGCTAAACATGAAGAAATAGCACATATTAAATTGTAGCAAAAGTCACTGCCTCCGGCTTCTTAGGGCTCGTCACTGCACACAGACACAGAGAGAGACACACTCACACACACGCAGATACATTCAAAACACATAGACATTCACAGAAAGAGAGATATACACACACAATGCATCAATTAATTTGGCTCATAGTTAAGTTACTTCTGCTAAAGTCATCAGTGAGGATTTGTGGATTTAAGTCCCATTGCAGGACTTGAGCTCAAAATTTAGTCTGGCACCATATATATATCAAACAATACCTTTGAATACTTATTCGTTAGTTGCGTTTCAGACTATATTTGTGGAGTCCTGTAGCTCAGTGGTTAGAGCACTCGCTTTGCAAGCGAGAGACCTGAGTTCAATCCCAGGCAGAGGGCGAAACATTGAGCAAGTTTCCTTACTCTACACAGAGCCTAATAATAATCCCTCCAAAACCAAAAACAATAACAAAATTGGTCATTTTCAATCTACGACTGTTTGTGGGACATTGCTGTGCGCAATTGGCTGCCGCGTTCGCCCACAAATATACAGTCAATTCACTTTACAGTTGTTCTGTGAAGTGCTTTGGGACGTCCTCCCGACGTGAAAAGCGCTATATCAAATGCAAGGATTATTATTATTATTATTATATTTTCCTTTCTTGGTTTTAGACCGACTTCTTTTGTTTTTTACATTTTTCCCAAATTATAGAATCATAGAATCTTACAGCACAGAAGGAGGCAATTCGACCCATCGTGCACTGTGCTGGCTCTTTGAAACACATCCAATTCCCTTTTGAAAGCCAATATTGAATCTGCCTCCACCATCGTTTCAGGCAGTGTGTTCCAGATCGTAACAACTCGCTGGGTTAAAAAAAAATCTCCTCATCTCCCCTCTGGTTCTTTTGCCAATTATCTTGAATCTGTTTCCTCGGGTCACCGACCCACCCACCAGAGAAAAGAGTGTCTCCTTATTTACTCTATCAAAACCCCTCATAATTTTGAGCACCTCTTTTAAATCTCCCCTCAACCTTCTCTGCTCTACGGAGGACAATCCCAGGCTCTCTCGTCTCTACACATAACTGAAGTTCCTGATCCCTGGTATTTATTCAAGTTCTTTTTATTGTTTACCCTAATTTTATTTTACGAAGGGTATGATTGGAGAGCTCGTTCTGCTTGCTGCCACCTGGTGGAAAGATCTCGTGAGACAGCACATGAACAGAATGAGAAGCCGCATTGAATGAAGTCCATTATGTTAGTGCTCCGGGTACAATATTACCTTGCATAGGGCTCTAAAGGAGGAAAGCTTTCCATCGCAGAATAAGCATCAATGGCTCCGGAGGCTTAGTCAAGTAATATATTTGTAATAATAACAATGATACAATACTTTGCTTCGTGCTTCGACTGTGTATTTGTGGATGAACGCGGCAACCAATTTGTGCAAAGCAGCGTTCCACAGACAGTCGTGGACTGAGTGACATTGATTCTTGGCAAGGACACCGGGAGAAGCTCATTTCTTATAATGCATGAATTAATATACTTCATTAATTTGTGTATATTTGTGTGTGTGTGTGTATATATATATATATAGTAGTTGTGTGGGAGCAGGATGAAGTATTGTAGGCGTAGAGGTGGATGTAGAGAAGCCCGGGCGAAAGCCTGGTGGGGAGGCTGCAATCTGATGGGACCAGGATATGTGTCAGGAACCTGCTCGCTCACAGCCGGACTGTCAACCTCGGCCATAGTATTGTGCTTTTAGTGTGAATTGTATTCTGTCTTCTATTTGATTTTTTTCTCCCTTCCCATTTTTTTTTACTTCTCTCTTTCTCTCCTTTCTCTCTCTTTCTCGCTCTGCTTCTACTTTCTCGTTGTTTCTGTCTCTTTCTCTCCCCCTTTCTCTTTTTCTCTCCTCTCTCTTTCCCTCTCTCCTATTCTTTCTCTCTCTTTCCCTCTCTCTCTCTCTCTCTCTCTCTCTTGCCCTCTTTTGCTTTCTCTCCTTTTCTGAAATCCAGATCTCATCACTCATGCCCTCCAAAAATGTTAGTCAATGTGACTGTTACTAGGAGCTGCTGGTGTGGATTTCGCCCATAACATACACAGTCAATCCACTTTACAGTATATTCTGTGAACGCTTTGAGACGTCTCAATTACGTGCAAAGGCGCTATATCAAATGCGAGGATTATGTTTAAAGTAATACATGCAGCAATGGTTGGGTTGTCACTGCTTAGTTCCGAAATCAGTCCTAGGACCTCGTTAGCAGCTTTCCGATATTAGAAACAAATCATAAAATGACCCTTGAGCGAGAGTAGCTTTTGATTGCGTTATTCCAGACGCTGCTGCCTGCTGGCGAGTGATTTTCTCTCAGCAGTTTGTGGGTGA